GCAGCCTATGAGTGACCAAGCAATCCGATTTCTGCGTTCTGCGATGAAATTCGTTTTCTGTGCAGAATTAGTTGTGCTTCACTAGGCTGCTCACCCCTAGAACCCATAGAATTCATTCGAACTCATTTCGAGTTAAATCAAAAGAGGATAAAGAATAAAGTTTTTGGCGCTAATCATTCCCGTCTGAGGGATGCGCTCCCGTCCTCGACTTTCATTCAGAATGTCTGAGGGATGCGCCCTGCACTCGACTACCATTCGGAATCGTAATGGCGTAATGAGTGCGTATGTGGCCTATACAATGACTTGCGATGGCCAGCCGATGTGCAAGCCAGTTCTTTTATCCTCCCAGTCGTTGCTGGTACCAATTAACGGACCGCGCAGGAAGGGAAGGCTTGGTTGGCTCGGGCGGACATCGATCCGAGATTCGAACCCCTGACCGTGCGTGTGATATGGTGCGCCACTTGCAACTATACCACCATCGCCACCACCTTGCAGAAATTATCAATAATAATGACAAGTGAAAAACATCTAATATTCACTGGGTTCTCCGGCTTTTGAGGGGAGATGCAACCTAGCATGAGTCATTGAGCTATCGAGGTATCCATCCACTCCAGATACCGAAACTCTTGGCGTTCGGTCTTCTTACTTACCATTCGCTTCGGCCTTAGCCAGCGCAAAATATTACACGAGAGTTCCCACGAGAACTGAAGTTCAACCGTTCCAGGGGATCGCGAAGCGGGCTGAGGGAGGGCTGTTGGGACACCACTATTTCCCAACATTGAGTGCTACAGAAAGCAGAGAAGGAGGGGAAGCCCGCTTCGCGATCCCTGGAACGGTTTCCGGGGGTCGTTCCTTGGCTGATGAAACTTTATTTTTCATTTTTTTCCATATGAGGGAAAAGCACAGGGGTGGGTGAGCCAAATGCTCAAATCTTATCCCATATCAGCTTTTTGCACGAGGCGATCATCTCATCCGCTGAAGAGCTGCTCCACTACTAAGGCTTATGTGAAGTCCATATTCCTTTGTCTACAACCACATTTCCAGCAAATTCATTCCCAAATTAACATTTGTAGTCTTTTTCAAAGTTGCTTTAGCAGTTTTCAGTTTGTGTTACAAAAAGCATGCACCTTGTTGATATCAAACTAGAGACAATAGTGAAAGACAAACTATTCAGAAGAACTATGTAAATATCTCGTCGTCGTCGAGTGCAGCAGTCCAACAATGTAGTACTTTACAAATTTGATAAGTAGAGTTGGATCGGACTCATCATTAGATTGCCGTTTTCGACGAGAAAATCACTGCAACCGGGTCTCCTTTTTCAAGGAAGCCCAGAAAATCACTCCAGCTGGGTCCACCCGTTTCATGGAAGCCTGTGTTGTTTAGCTCTACACCGCTGCATTCGTTCAACGCATTCACATTGGATGAACGCATTAAGTCTCACATTAGAATGACATGTCACCAGGAGAGACAACCTTCCGTTGCAACCTTACAGGAAAGTGGAGACATGAAAGAAAAACAGCGTGATTAAAAACCCCATCAAAGTCAAAACTCACTCAGGCTCACTTCTAAGCTGATCTCCAACCCCTTTTCCGGAAGCAATTAGAGAGGGTTCTCATATTTCAACAGATGACTGTCACTAGAGATTTAGTTGAGCTCCATTGACTACCCAATAGCTCTTAACAGAGTGCTTATTACAAAGCAAATTGGAGTTAAAACATTCGCGGTGAAAAGATTGGAATGTGGAAGTTGTGTTGAGTAACCCAGAGTAGAGAACAATGAAAACGGGCTATTTGAACAGCAATATGAAGAGGACCAGAGAAAATAAGCGAAAAGGGAGTAAAATTTAAGTGGGACTGCAAAAAAAGGACAGTTGAGTAATGTTGGCGATGTGAAATAGTTAATGAT